CCTTCATTTTCATCAACAATGTCGATCATGTCCTTGCAGAATGGCAAAGGACATAAAAGTAAAAAGCGAATGAGGTATGTTCTCTCGTTGAAGTTCAAATGTCCCAGTTTTGTTCACAAACAGTCATTTGTAAATGCTTCTAGTAGTGTGAAATGACATGTAGTTCTCCTGAACCATGAAATTTCGTATGGCATATGCCTAACTCTCCTTAAAAGTATTCCTGAAAAGTGGCATCTGGTATTTTTTTATGCGTGAGTGAACCCTTGCTCCCTGATACAAAATAATATAAAGTTGTATGTTAAAAATTTCATGTGTATCATTTGATTATCTTCATTATTATGAACTGAATGAATGCTTGCTCACCTCTTCATCACAAAAATACACTCAATATTTGGTGGCAGTTTGACGTTGGTGGCGTTGTAAACGCGAACTACACAAACCCTGATCATGCTCCCCATTCCTACCATTTTGGTAAGTGTCTAAGTGAGAGGGATTAACAAAGATGAAGTGTTTAGGAGCACGATAGGATGGAAACAATGTTGTTGGGGATGTGTATATATAGTGATCTAGAGTCACTGAAATATTGTTACTATTATGTAATTATTATTACTGTCTTTATCCATAAATTGTTTTGGAAGTTGTCATGCTATGTGTGATGGGAATACAAAAGAGCATTGGTGCAAAGATTAAAATAAAAAATATTATACAGAACTATATAGTGGAAGTGCTCGAATGATAATTTATTCAGAAAGTAAAATCAATAAATAAAGTAATAGATGTACGGGAATACGGAAGAGCATGGATGGACATTTAAAGTTGTGTTGGCTATTCCACACGTGCTCTTGGGAATACTACACCAGCGAATTAATGCAGTCAATTAAACAACTCATAATCCAGTAAAATTGGGCATACAGTATTGCAATGTAGTCTTGCAATGGAATAGGCGGAAACACTGTAGCTAAATCAATTTACTATTATATTATAATTATAGATATGAGTAATATTACATATGACAATATATTCATCAACCCAATACTTTCTTCGTGAAGTGAGCAATATAAACAAACAAATGATTCTCGATCTTTAATTTCTGTCAACGTCTTAGCAGTGCCCCTTGATTTTAAACTAGTCACATCGTCAAATGTTTTGTCAAAAACTTGGGTTGTACAAGACCACATACAAAAAAACACAAACAATAGTTGTATAATGTGAACATCAACGTGTAGCTCCGGGCTGTGCTAAATTATTATTATTTGGATGTTATCCTCTCTCGGTTGTAAGTTCACCCTTTTTAAAAATCTCTATTATGTTTCATTTTGTTTTGGTAGGAACTCAAATTTTCTTTTACAAGAGATCCCACCATGTTAGTAATCATGAATAAATATTTAAAGAAGCCACCCACAAGCTTATTCTTTGTGCAATAGCTACCACAACTAATTGCATTTGGTGAGCAAAATAATGAATGTGTCTTGTGTATGATTTTTTTTTATTTAAGATAAGAGTTTTCAATTCATTAAGCTCGTCACAAATATTAAAAGTCATATCATATCTTTGACCTCAGCATGGGACAAAGATAATCCATACTTAGCAAAAAAAATCAATGTCACTTTCCAAAGAAAGTGCAATGATGTCTATCTCTCAACAATAATCATTTATTCATTTCCAGAATTATCACTTAATTTAATAATTACTACCCCCAATCAGCACAAATTATTTAAAGAATCAATGTCACTTTTCAAGATAAAGATTTTCGTTCACTATTCTCCAATCAGCACAAATTATTCTTAATCTTTTACTTTATATCCAACTTTATCAAAATTGAAATTTGCTTATGACACTAGTAGAAAAATAGCCTATAGTGACACTAATTTAGTGTCACAAAAACTTTCTGTGACACTAAAAATTTGTAGTTTTTGAATATGTAGTTTCTGAATATGTAGATTTTTAAACATGACTTTGTAGTTTTTGAACAAAACTAAAAATTTGTAGTTTTTGAACATGACTTTGTAAAATTTTTAATGTAGTTTCTGAATATGTAAATTTTTATTTACTATAACTAATTTTATTATTAACAGAAGTCAGTTAACTTTATAACCAGTCAAACGTCGCAATCTAAGTGTGATTTTTTACCCGGATATTTAGGTTTCAAGAAAATTGCAATTTTAGGCCTGTAACTTTCGGTCGTGGCCGTTATTAGTCCTGTAACTTTTTGGTTGCAGATTTGGTTCCGTAACTAATAAATCTTTGTAAATTTTTTAATGTAGTTTCTGAATATGTGAATTTTTATTTACTAAAATTAATTTTATTATTAACAAGAGTCAGTTAACTATCTGACCAGTCAAATGTCACAGTCTAAATGTAAACTTTTACCCGAATATTTACATCTCAGGAAAATTGTAATTTTAGTCATGTAACTTTTTGGTTGCAGATTTGGTCATGTGAGTAATAAATCTTTAAAATTCAAGGATTTTTCCATAAAAAAATACACTTTTCAGCGAAAATTCATTGCCAGAGACATCTTTTCCAACGAATTTATGGCCTGAAAGTGTATTTATTAGTTGCAGGACTAAATCTGCAACTGAGTAAAGTTATATGACTAATCATAGTTATATGACTAAATCTTTCTAAAGATTACAAAGGCTTGGAATCAAATGTATACGCAATAAAAAAGGGAAAATTCCCTAAATGGGACTAAATGAAACTTTAATTGCCAAAATAAGACCATAACTTGAAAATTCCTTAAATAGGATTAGCTTTCCAATTATACTTTGTTTAATACCATTCATATTTCATTATGTATTGCGGAGTAAAATATAAAAGTAATAACATAAATTTATTTTTAATAAAATGTAAAAAAAAATAAAAAACGCAAAATGAATATTAAATAAAATTAATAAAAATAAAAAAATCTAAAAAATAAAAATTATAAAATAAAAAAAATTAAAAATTAAAATAAAAATTCAACCGGGAAGACAGTCAAATGATTTTCTGAAATGTACTGTGCAGTTTATTTATTTTCAAAGTTTTCTTTTTAATCTTTTAATCTTTTACGGAGTATTATTTTAGTATTTTTAAAAATATTTCATAATTTTTTAACTTTTTACGATTTTTTGTATATGTTAATTTTTTTTTTGTATTTATTACAAATTAAAATATGATTATCTTGTTAAGTTATGGTAAGAGTATAATAGGAAGATAGGAGGATATATATATACATTAGTCTTATTTTGGAAAGAAAAATAACATAGTCATATTTATGCATTTTGGAGCTAGTTTAATCCTTTTTAGGGTTATTAACTTATAAAAAACAAAACATATACCTTGAGGTTATTTATTAGAAAAAATTACATAAATATTACTCCGTACTAGTTTAAACCTCACTAACAAAAATATGACTATTGGTTAAAGGGAGTTTACTAACTGCCTACATGCATTACTAAAAAGTGATGTGGGTATTTGTAGTGAGTGAATAATGAGTCACATTTTTGTAAACTTACACACCATTGGTAATATACACTTCCTTCGTTCTTAAATAAGTACAACAATCAACATTTCACATTTGTGGAAGCACAACTTTGACCATTAATATATAACTCTCTATTAGTAAAAAAATTTTTAAAAAAAAATAGATTTTGAAAATTTACAATGAAACAAATTTAGTAATATTTTTTCAAAAATATATATTAATACATCAATAAATAAAATGTAGTCAAAATAGAACATGTGAATAGCGTAAAATTTAGAATGTTGCACTTATTTAAGAACGAATGTAGTATGTAAAAAACTCTATTTATAATTAATGATACATCAAACGGAAATTGTCCTAAATATGACTAATGAGTTCCTAAAAAGTACAAATAGGACTACTACTTTTTAAATTCCCTAAATAAGACTAAGCATTGATTTTCTACCCTAAATACCCCTAAGAGTATTCATTCATAATGAAATGCTTTAATTCATAATAAAATTATAAAAACGTAAAACATATTTAAAAAACGTAACAAAATATAATTTTTTTTAAAAAAATATTTATGAAATAAAATATTTTTTTTTTAATTTTTTTAAAAAAATAATAAAAAATAGTAAAAACCCATAAAAATGAAAAAAATTATGGATACCTTTCCTGCCGCCTCCCAGCACCACCACCTCCGATTGGTGAAATTTCTTTCACTTTTGGTAAAAATGCCATCTTTTTCTGAAAATGCCAAAAAGATGACATAATTACTCTTTAATATGCCAACATTTTCATTGAATATGCCAACATTTTCATTGAATATGCCGTCATTATGACATTATTTAAAATGTTGACATATTTTTCTCCGGTGATGGGAGATGGTGGTGCTGGGGGTGGCAGGGTGGTAATGTTTTTTTTTTAAATCTTACGATTTTTTTTAGTTTGTTAAATTTATTTTTTTTTGTTAAAATTATTTTTATTAATTTTCTATTATTTTTTTTTTACAATTTTTAGTATTTTTTTTCGATTTTTTTTATTTTTATTATTTTTTTACAAGCGTATATTTGTCCAGACACACATAAATAGTCATATTAAGAAAATTTTAAAAATGTAGTCCTATTTGTGCAATTTTGTCACTTATATTCCTATTTAACAAATTGACTCTACATCAAATTAGGAACAATGTGCACTCCTACTACCAGCGAAGCAGCCTACCAGTCAACAAACACAATCTCTCTATTAATTAACATCTAATTGCAGATTATATCCTACATTTTGACTCACATTTAATGAACATGTGGATCATGTGCAGGTAAGGAAGGGCATGGCTGTAATAAAGTCGCAAAAGCCGGGGTACAATCATTGCGTTGTGGATAGACATACTTGACCCGCCATCCTAAACCCAGGTTTGATCTGTGCTAACCACGGTTGTGCTTAGCTGGCACGCGACTTTATCCATTTGCTTATCACCACGCAAAGGAGGCCGTTAGCGTCAACCGTGCATGACGCGTCGTACCGCTCGCTTCCCTGGTTGTACGCTAGGATGGGTAAAAACGTAGTTTCACTTTTCAACTCCCGGTCTCTTTATATCCATAGTTGAAACTTGAGACGCACTTATCCCTCCCTCCCTCCTTCCTTCCATCGGAACTGGACGTCCGGGGTGTTTTCCGGTTGAATCCTCGCCGGAGTTCCGACGTAAATGATCAATCTTCCTTTTCCTCTCTGATATGCTGTTTGTCATGTTTGACTTCAATTTTTTTTTCCTGTTAGAGTTTCGGGTTATGGTGGTTTGATGCTGAATCAGTTCGGTTAAGTGAATAAATGAATATGTAAAATGAATTACTTGGGGTCAAATGGTTATTTGAATGATTTAAGTTTCATGTTTCATTTGCTTGTTTGCTAGTAGTAGTAGTTCTTATGGTTTTGAAGCAGATGATGGAATTGGCGTTCTTTCTGTGTTGCTCAACTGCCTGTTAAAATTGATTTTGGTTTTCTGACTTAAGGTTTCATTTGTTGTGGACTTAACGGGTAATTGTGTTTTTGAATTTTATACTCTTCGCAATATTTAAATATAAATAAATACGGAGTAGTTTAAATGACCTTCACTTTTTGGGCTTTACGCATACTCAAAGCAGGATATGATTTTAGTCCCATTTATTTAAGTATTTAACTCACTAGTTGCAGTATCATTGAGTCTCTCTTCTGTGCAATTCTCAGGCTATCTTCTTTTTGTTCCTTTCCTTTTTGAGACCCTTTCTCTCTGTTTCTTCTGTAGTTTGTTATTGGGATTCTTCATTTTCTCACCTGGATTATGTGATTCCACGTGAAGCTCTTCTGCTATCGATGATTTTAGGAACTGTATGTTTTTGGAGGATTTTTTTAGGTTACTTTTTTTCATTGTTAATGGTAAACAAACTAATATCTTGTAATGCACCTTGTAGCCAGAAAGAAGTGCCCCTGATTGGCTACTGATTCAGAGATCAGCCATTCAGCCTGATGGATGATAGAGTTTGTTTTACAAATGACTATGACTATGTATGTTATCAGTAGGACCTTTTTAGTGTTGATAGCCGTATGATATCTTTACCTGGTAAGTTCTTGTGTTGTCACGTTTTGTTTGTGGGGAATAGTTGAAATGTTCAAATAGTGCACCCTGACTTTGGTTGGATAACATGTTTTTTACGTGTGACATTTATCCTTATCTTAAACCAAATACATGAGGATCATGTATTCCTTGCCTTATTAATTATAGCACTTGTTTTTATGCGATTAGTGGATCAAAAGGATTTTCATGCCAGTTATAATAGTAGACCATTCTCATTTCTCACTAGTGAACACTTTTTGAAGGTTGGGTCTTTTATAGAAAAGAATACTATGCCTAATTAATGCACACTTTGTGTGTTGCTTATAATACTACTACTACGTATGTTTCTTTTCAATTCCCTTTTCTCACTTCAGAACGTGAATTGATTTAGTTCCCCAAGGCATTCTCTTATATTTATTTTCTTTTTTCTCTGATTTATGCGCCCCATACATACGCTCGATATGCTTTTGCTTTGGCTGTGTTTTTACTTGTGTTGCACTGTACCTTAACATGAGAAAAGTACATTCAAATAAAATTGTATCTGGTCAAGTTTTTTTTGTCAGGAATAGAATAACTTGTTTCATTAAAATCATCAAAATTTCAATCCTCTATTAATTACATATTTTAGAAATTGTTGTTCCCAACATTTGCTGATCCAAAGCCTTTATAAACAAGTGTGTCTCATATGTATGGAATCCTGGGTAATGTTTTTTTACCCAAAAAGTTATGTCATTTCTTGGGAACATTAAAGTGTGATCTTAAGTGATACTCGCATGTATGATCTTTTGTGAAATGTTTGCAAACATGCAAATTAATATGTAGTTGTTTTCACCTTGTAGGTTGGTGAGCCTGTTGGTATAATGACAAGTGTGACTTGATTCACATTGAGGAACAGGTATCTATAATTTTTATGTTGTCAGCATCCTTTTAAGTCAAGTACATGACATGGCATCAAGATCTTCTACAAACTTTCTGGACGTGGCTTGTGAAGAAATTTTGGACGTTCCTCAAACTCCTAGAGCTCTTCCTCGGCTTATGACTGTTCCTGGAATCATCTCTGATGGAAGCAATGATGGTGACTTGGATGTTAATTCACCCATCCATCAAGACCGTAAAATTGTAGTCTCTAATATGTTGCCTTTGCATGCTCAGAAGGATAAAGAAACTTCACGGTGGCGTTTCAGTTTGGATGAAGATTCCCTTCATTTACAAATGCAGGATGGGTTTTCTTCTGAAACTGAGTTCTTGTACGTGGGTTCCCTAAAGGTTGAGATTGAACCCAGTGAACAAGAGGAAGTTGCACAGAGATTGTTGGATGAGTTCAAGTGTGTTCCAACCTTTCTACCCGCAGACATTCATAAGAAGTTTTATTATGGTTTCTGTAAGCAATATCTGTGGCCTCTTTTCCACTATATGTTACCTATGTGTCCAGACCATGGAGATAGATATAATCGTCAGCTGTGGCAAGCATATGTATCTGCTAACAGGTTATTTGCCGACAAGGTAATGGAAGTCATGAATCCTGATAGTGATTACATATGGGTACATGATTATCATCTTATGGTTCTCCCAACTTTTCTGAGGAAACGTTACCACCGTGTCAAACTTGGATTTTTTCTCCACAGTCCATTCCCTTCTTCAGAAATATACCGGACTTTGCCGGTCAGAGACGATGTTCTTAAAGGACTTCTGAACTGTGATCTCATTGGTTTTCATACTTTCGATTATGCACGCCATTTTCTGTCATGTTGCAGTAGGATGTTAGGCCTGGACTATGAATCGAAACGTGGGCATATCGGGCTCGATTACTTTGGCCGTACCGTTTATATAAAAATTTTGCCAGTGGGTATTCATATGGGCAGGTTGGAATCTGTGTTGGAGCTTTCCTCCACGATTAACAAGGTCAATGAAATTCAAGAGCAATATAAGGGGAAAAAGGTGATTCTTGGAGTGGATGATATGGACATTTTTAAAGGCATCAGTTTGAAATTGCTAGCTTTTCAACACCTATTGGAAGTAAATCAGAAGTTTCAAGGAAAGCTTGTTCTCGTACAAATAGTCAACCCAGCGCGTAGCTCTGGGAAAGATGTTCAAGAAGCAAAGAGGGAAACATATTCGACCACTAAAAGAATCAATGAACTTTTCGGTCAACCTGGATACCAACCGGTGGTTTTGATTGACCGTCCGGCTGCTCGCTATGAAAAGACTGCATATTATGCTGTGGCGGAGTGTTGCATAGTCAATGCAGTTAGAGATGGGATGAATTTGGTGCCGTATAAGTACATTGTATGTAGACAGGGATCTTCTGGTATCAAGTCTGATTCTGCTCAACCGACTAGCACACTTGTGGTGTCTGAGTTTATTGGTTGTTCACCGTCTTTGAGTGGAGCAATTAGAGTAAACCCATGGGACATTGAAGCTGTCGCCGAAGCACTAAGCACAGCCATTACCATGCCTGAATCTGAGAAACATTTGAGGCATGAAAAACACTACCGATACATTAAGTCTCATGATGTTGCGTATTGGGCCCGCAGTTTTCTTATGGATTTGGAGAGGGCGTGTAAGGATCATTATAGCAAGCGTTGTTGGGGTGTGGGGTTGGGACTTCGTTTCAGAGTTCTTTCGCTTTCTCCGAGTTTTAGAAAGTTGTCTAATGATCGCATATTGTCATCGTACAAAAGGACACACAGAAGGGCGATATTCTTGGACTATGATGGAACAATCGTGCCTCAATCATCGATACATAGTTCTCCTAGTGATGAAGTCATTCGTTGCCTGAGTGTTCTCTCTAATGACCCCAAAAATACGGTGTTTATTATTAGTGGCCGAGGAAGGAGTTCCTTGAGTGAGTGGCTTGAACCATGTGATAGACTCGGTCTGGCTGCTGAACATGGTTTTTTCTTAAGGTATGCAGCCACTACACGCTTTCCATTTGTTTGTGTTGTTTTCAGATTACCAGGATAGTATCAGATAGTTAGGTTACTGCAAAAGTTAATACTGAGGTAATCTAATTAATAATGAGGTAAGGTTACCGTGGTAGTATTTCATTTCTACCCTCAAAAAATAAGTTGTGTTGTATTTGATTTGGAGCTCATTAATATTACATTTCATTTAATATTGTTCTAATCAAATTACTGTTATCTCACATTACCATCGTGAAAGTAATGATATGACCGTGGATAATCGAACATTCCGTGAACCAAATGCCCCCTGACAGCTTTGTGTTACTCTAATGTTTTCTGTTGTCAATGCTTGTCCGTAATTTATTTATTTGAGCAGGTGGAATAAAAGCTCAGATTGGGAATGCATGAATGCTGATGTAGAGTGGAAACGAATTGTTCAACCTGTAATGAAACAATACACTGATGCGACTGATGGCTCATCTATAGAAACTAAAGAGAGTGCCTTGGTTTGGCACCACCAGGATGCAGACCCTGACTTTGGGTCCTGCCAGGCTAAAGAATTGCTTGATCATTTGGAAAATGTTCTTGCAAATGAACCCGCTGTCGTCAAGAGAGGGCAGCAAATTGTGGAAGTGAAGCCCCAAGTATGATCTCATTCCTTCCTTCTTCTCTCCCCTAGTTCCATATGAATATTTCTCTTGCATTATTTTTTTCATAAAAACTTGTGCTGATTCCAAACTAGTTTCTCTTGAAGCCTGTCATAAAACCAAATTACTTTTCATTTAATTTCCGTAAAAGAAAAAATCAAGCAAGTTACAGTGGTAAATTTTAGTAAACCAGGGTCCCTAAACATCACCCATATGAAATTGTATAGAGTAGTTAAAAAAAAGTTATTTCCCAAACATGGGTGAGCCGCAGGGCATTGTCTACCAACCTTAAGCTTCATTCACCAATGAACCAGTTGCTTTCAACATACATAACATCTTTTTAAATTGACAAAGGTTAGTGCTTTTCGGCAATGTTTGACCATCTTTGAAAAGCTATCACCTGTGAAAATAGAGCATCTTTAAAATCCATACCTTTTTAGCCCAAAAGTATTAGTTCTGGTGGTGTTATGTCATAATGCTTGGTGTTTATTTCCAATGCGGTGAATTGGTTCCACAAAAGTTCGAGTAAGTTAACCTTGATTGATATACAGGGTGTGACCAAAGGGTTGGCAGCTGAGAAGGTTCTCGAGATGATGGTTAACAAGGGGAAGCCACCTGATTTTGTGGTGTGTATAGGTGATGATAGGTCGGATGAAGACATGTTTGAGGGAATCATAAAAATGGTTTCTGGTCTGACCATTTCACCAGTCCCAGAATTGTTTGCCTGCACAGTCGGACAAAAGCCGAGTAGAGCAAGGTATTACCTTGACGACACCACAGACGTGGTCAGGTTGCTTCAAGGCCTTGCCAATGCATCAAACCCAAAGCCGATACAGATTGCTGAGTTCCAGTCTGTGTTTGACATGTTCAAGTGAGTTAGGGGTTCTTTTTTGTGTTTGCTTTCCGAAGGGGGTAAAGTTTTGCAGCTGTTTGAAAATGGCTGCCTGCCTTTAGTGTTGGAGAAGCGCCATTGATGTGTATATGTTCTAACTGACGACTTTCTAATTGAATTATGATATATATAAAAGTCTAATTTTGCTTTTTGTTTGCTGAGACCAGCCCCCATGTATATCAAATTATCAATGATGATGACCATTGACCAAGTGATGCACGAAATAGGGAGTGTTTGCAACTGTTTCTGCTTAAAAAAAGCACTTTTGGAGATGTAAGAAAAAAGTGGATTAGTAATAAAAGTTGGTAGTGTTTGGTAAAATAAGTGCTTTTTGTGTAATAGAAAAGGGAAAAGCACTTTTCACACGCAAGCCGAGAAAAAGTAAAAATTGATAGTGTTTGGTAAATAAGTGCTTTTTAAAGCCAAAAGTTGAGAAGTGTTTTTTTTAAGCAGTTGCAAACACTCCCATAGTGTTCTTATCATACGGGTATTTGATACGGAGTATAAAAATTTAGTGAAAGAAGTGATGGAAATAGACATCTATGATACAAATAGTGAAGAGGTGTGATATTGCCTTTGATACAAATAGACAATGGAATTTTGGAACAAGGTATTATTTCATACTAGTATATTCTTTGAACTATCTAATTTAAACAAAGTAGTATAGTATAAACAAAACTCTCAAATACAAGTATATTTTCTATTTAAAACAAATAGACTAAAAACGTATAAATAGCTATTAAATGAAGTGAAATCATTTGCATCACATTTCATTACGACTCATGTTTATTAATTGAATCTCTTTTAATATATTAATCAACTAGTCAATTAAATAGTAAACATTGAGAAATATAATCGAAATTGTAACAAGTATCAAAAGAAATTGTATACAAGATTAGATCGCCAATTATTTACATACTTAGCAAGTAACAAAATAGTGAAAATACAACCGAAATAACACTACATATGTAAGACTTGGAGAAATTATAGCTCATGACTAATTTCTTTATAGCTTCGAACTCTTATGAATGTGTAAGACTCTTCTTACCACCTTCACAGAGTATCGTTGACTCCATTAAAGAATTTTCAAAAAATCATCATCATTGACTTTTTATAGTCATAATCGAGTCATCTCGTATCATCCGTATTTAACATTGAAGTTTTTTTTGGATGAAATGTAAATATATATTAACACCCAAGAAAATATACATCAAAAAGTTCAAGATCTCCTAAAGCCCCCCACCCCTACCTAATGTAGGGGTTAGGAGAGGTTTTTATTTGATCTAATCCAAAATCAAAATCAAAACTGGGGCCTAAGTATACAATACTAAATGCCCCAACACGTCAAAAACAAATCGATGTTGCAAGACTGCACGCACACAGATCCACAAATCCATAAAAGCTGAGGCTTCATAGCGTCCATGTCAAAAGGTGACCAACTCATGCGGGTAGATACTAAAGAGTATCTTGTAAACCACGTGTTTGATCTTTGCTATAATGTCCTCCTCCGTCTTCTTGCCATCATCAAGTCTAACTTCGTTCCTTGCATGCCAAATGTAGTAAACTGTCGCACAATTCAAAAGCAATACGAGCAGCCTTTGCCTTCATATTTGATCCTCTATGAGTCTTCGTGATCCACTTAATTGCACTTAGCAACGTTGTCATATCATGCCCGAGTCCCATCCAATTCCTTATCTGCTGCCATATCCTACACGTAAATGGGCATAGGAAAAAGAGGTGTGGTATTGTTTCCAAACCACCCTTGCATAAGTCGCACCTATTTACAATGTGGAGATAACCAAGGCTATCCTGGGTAGGAAGTCGGTTTCTCAAGGCCAACCACACGTTAAAAGAGAGTTTTGGGGGGATGTAGGATTTCCATATGAAACTCATAGGAGTCCTAACTTCACCCTTGACTCTTAACAATTCATAGATCTTAGCGGAGGCTAATTTTCCATTAGTGGTACGAGATTTAAGGCCTAAGATAGTATCATTCAAATTATTAAAGCAACTCCGAATCTTATCCCGAATGAGACTCAACCGCTTCATGAGCTGTGAGTCCCGGGTGTGTGGGACAAAGTCCCACACGGTCCTACACTTAAGGTAGACCCCGTTCACCCACCTCACCCAAAGGGTGTCTTTCTTCATGTGAACGTCCCAAAGGGTGCGAGCGAGGAGGGCGTGATTCCACACCTTGGCATTATGAATGCCCAGACCCTCTTCCTCTTTAGGGAGACAGATGTCATCCCAGGCCACCTTGGCATACTTACCACCCCATAGAAAGATACGACAGATCGAAACAATCCTATCCAAAATAGTAATGGGAACCGGGAAGACCTAGAGCCAAAATGATTGGACCCCTTGGATCACAGACCGAATTAGCTCAAGCTTACCAGCATAGGAAATAGTCTAAGTATTCCAAGTTTTTAGAAAATCATTAACCGTCTCCAAAAGGGGAGCATATTGAGCCACGGAGACTTTGTTTGATGGTTGAAGAAGCGGTTGTTTTTACTGCTTCTCCAAACCAACGAAGGCAAGGTTTTTGATAAATCGCGGCTCTCTTCCATTGAGTCAAGGGCTTTTCTATTTTTCTTTATTTGAATAGAACCTTATTTTCTTTTATCGTGAAAGGGTCAATAAATAAATTAATAATTGAGCAGTATCCTTCAATTCAGAATACGTTGCTTCGTTAGGACCACGATGCTATACTGATTGGGTTTATTCCAAGGACGTGCAATATTGGCAATAAAAAAAGATAAGATGTTATTGAGAAATGGCACTTTTGAAATGTATTATCTTGCTTTCCACGCACAAATTGTAAAGAATCTTTATTTCAGTGTTGTAGATCGCATATACGGAGTAATAACTAAGATCGTGAGCCTTAGATGGTGATTATTTTACAATTGATTGAAGTTAAGAAGAATATAAGTAGAAGTTTGATATCTAATATGTAGATACTGGAGTCTGGAAGCTAATAAAAATACATTTAAAAAAAGAACAAGTGTGTTATAAATAAATATCACAAAATCGAGGTTCTAGTGATCAAAAATTACTAAAAATCATAAACAAGCACCAATTGGTGAATACGATAAGAAATCTAACCAAAATTAGTGATGGACCGGTTCCGGGCCGACCGGCCTGTGGCCCGGCCCGACAATGTTTGGAACCGGCCTGGCCCGATGGCCCGGACAGGGACCAGTTCTGTCAGGCCCGGCCCGGGGGTTACGTTGGGACTTGGGCAGGCGCGGGTCACCCTAAATAAGAACCGGCCCGGCCGGGCCCGTTTCGGGTTTTTATTTATTTTATTTTTTTTGCTTTTTCAATTTTTTTTATTTTCCCGGGTTGGGCTGGGTGTTTTGGGGTGGTTTAGGGGGGGAGTGAGGGGGGGGGGGGGTCGGGGGTTAATTACAAAAGCAAAAAAAAAAAAAGGAACCGGCCCAGAACCGGCCCAGAACCGGTGGATACTTGGGCTGATTCCGGGCCTCAACTATCTCCCAAAAAAGCCCGGCCAGGCCCGGCCCGGATCGGGCCCGGTCCATGCCTACCCAAAATGTAAAAACATGAGTTTATAAGGTTTATTCTCACAGCTATCAAAATGGTCCAAGGGTAAGAATAGGGATGGACCTGGGCCGGTTCCAGTTCGGGCCTGGGCTCAGCCGGGCTGTTTCTTTGGGAAGGGAGAATCGGAACCGGCCCGGGTAGGCATCAGTTCCGGGTCGGGCCGGTTCCGGTTCAATGTAATTTTTTATTTTATTTTCTTTTGATTTTCTAAATAACCCCCCCCCCCCCCCCCCCCAAAAAAAAACACCCAGCCCACCCCGATAGAAACTAAAAAAATTGAAAAAAAAAAACAAAAAAAGGCTAAAGGGTCAAATAGGTCCTTATATAGGAGGTTCTGCCTGGCCTTCGCCAATTGGGGCAGTTCCCGGTGGAATTTTTTGATGAAATTTTTTGAGCAACTTCTTCATTAAGTCTAGTTTACTCATACCAAATTCCAGCTAAAAATTCATCCGGGAAGACAATCAAATGATTTTTTGAAGATAACTGCGAAGTTAAACAACACAGTACATTTCGGAAAATCATTTGAGTGCCTTCGCGGTTGAATTTTTAGCTGAAATTTGGTACGGGTAAGAACCTCCTATATAAGGGGCTAATTGAACACTTTAAGTCAGTTCAAGGGCCTATTTGACTTTTTAGCCAAAAAAAATTGGCCCAAACCGGCCGGGCCGGTTCGCAATTTAGGGGGCCCGATCCCGCCCCGGGATTTGAGCGGTTCCAGTTGGCCTGAACCGGCCCCAAGACCAGGTACCGGGCCGGGCCTAAACAGTACCGGGCCGGTCTGGTTCCGAGCCGGGCGGCCCGACCCGAGTCCATCCCTAGGTAAGAACGTACTTTGGGATGGTGGTACATACAAAATATTGAAAAAACGTTGGTGTGTGTGTACATACAAAATTCCCTCTTATACTTCCACACTATCACTACCGTTTTAATATACCTTAAGACTTTCATGATTCCATCATCTTTTTGGATGATTGTAAACTAAAATATGATGTTTTGAATAGGCAGTGGCACAGATTAGGGATGGACCCGGGCCGGGCCGGTTCCGGTTCCGGGCCGGGCCCGGGCGGGCTTTTTTTCGGGTTACATGGGCCCGGAACCGGCCCGGGTTGATACCGGGTCCGGGCCTAGATGCCTAGAAGTGCTCCCCAAAAATCCTATAGTGTGTGTTGCTTTAATTCTAATACGGAGTAATAGTTAGGTATCCCTAAAAAATTAGATCATAGGAAATTTCAGGAGAAAAACTAATAATTCATCATAAATCTTGTTGACGGCATCAGAGAATCTGAGATTAGTTTATTCAGATTCAGCACAATAATACATTAATACCTCGACTACAGGTGTATGAAAATCTTAGCATTGTCTCAACAGCTTAGGCTTTAAAAAGTGTTTTTTTAATGAAATTGGGAAAAGTGATTAAATAAAAGTTGATAGTGTTTGAGAAAAAAGTGATTTTGAAAAGTAAAAGTTAGTAATTTTTGGTAAAATAAGTACTTTTTGTGTAATAGAAAAAATAAAAACACTTTTAACACGAAAGCCGAGAAAAATAAAAGTTGATAGTGTTTGGTAAAATAAGTGTTTTTTAAAACCAAAAGTTGAGAAATGTTTTTT